GGGCCTCCGCCCTGGTAAAACAAGACCCCGCCTGAACAGCAGATAAGACTTTTACCAGGGCCTCCGCCCTGGTAAAACAAGACCGCGCCCAAATAGCAGATAAGACTTTTACCAGGGCTTCCGCCCTGGTAAAACAAGACCCCGCTCGAGCCCTTAAGTCTTTTTACCGACGCTTTAATGCCTGGGTAGTGGCAGAAGACTTCGCCTGGCCACGCCGGGACCTCAGGATGGGCGGTATTTTTGCCCTAAAATTTTAAATCCTAAACTCTAAGACACCTGAAACCCTAAAGTGTAATCATGACGCGGAACCCATGCTCAGACAGAGCTCCGGCTCTGTTTGTCATGGGTTCACTTCATTCTGGTTGCCCTGCTCAGACAGAGCTTCGGCTCTGTTTGTCAGGGCACACTGCACTCATTTAACCGCGCTCAGACAGAGCTTCGGCTCTGTTTGTCACGGTCTTCATTCATTCTGCATGCCGTGCCCAGACAGAGCTTAGCGCCAAAACCCCCAGCCATTCAAGCGAGCAAGGGGTGGACACGAATGCCTAAGACCCAGGCCGTAAAGCGATGGGAACACCTGAAAATGTACCTTTGAGGCAATGAACCTCTGTGGGGGGCAATAACTCTGAGTTTTCCCACAGCGAAACCTGCAGACATGAAGCGTGGAACGCCGCGTCAGCCTAAACCCTAAAACGTGACAAGCCCAAACCTCATATGAAAAAAATCGTAAAGCAACCCCCCAAAATGTCTCCACTCAAAATACTCTCAGAATCCCACATACAAACAACCCTAAATGCTCAAGAGACCCAAAATAGGCTTCATCCTAGACCCGAAAACGTGAGAAACCCGAACTTCATATGGAAAAAAAAGTCGCAAAACAACCTCCCACAATGTCTCCACTCATAATACCCTCAGAATCCCACACAAACAAGCCTAAATGCCCAAAAGACCCAAAATAGGCTTCATCCTAGACCCTGAAACGTGAGAAACCCAAACCCCATACGAAAAAAAATTCGCAGAACGCCCTCCCAAAATGTCCCCACTCGAAATACCCTCAGAATCCCACACACAAACAGCCCTAAATGCCCAAGAGACCCAAAATAGGCTTCATCCGAGACCCTAAAACGTGAGAAATCCAAAATCGCCAGACAACCTCCCAACATGTCCCCACTCAAAATACCCTCAGAACCCCACACACACGAACAAGCCTAAATGCCCAAAAGACCCAAAATAGGTTTCATCCCAGACCCTAAAACGTGAGAAACCCAAATCTCAGATGAAAAAAATCGCAAAACAACCTCCCAAAAGGCCCCCACTCAAAATACCCTCAGTATCCCACACACAAACAACTCTAAATGCCCAACAGACCCACCGAAGGCTTCATCCCAAACCCTAAAACGTGAGAAACCCAAACCTCATATGAAAAAAAATACTGCCCAAAATTTTTCAACACAAAATACTCTCAGAATCCCACACACAAACAAGCCTAAATGCCCAAAAGACCCAAAATAGGCTCCAGCTTAGACCCTAAAACGTAAGAAGCCCAAACCTCATATGAAAAAAATAGCAAAACAACCTCCCAAAATGTCTCCACTCAAAATACCCTCAGATTCCCACACACAAGCAGCCTTAAATGCCCAAGAGACCCCAAATAGGCTTCATCCTGGACCCTGAAACGTGAGAAACCCAAGCCTCATAGGAAAAAACAATTCGCAAAACAATGTCTCCACTCAAAAGACCCTCAGAACCCCACACACAAACAACTGTAAATGCCCAAAAGACCCAACATAGGCTTCATCCTCGACCCTAAAACGTGAGAAGGCCAAACCTCATATGAAGGAAAATCGCAAGACAGCCTCCCAAAATGTCCCCACTCAAAATGCCCTCAAAATCCCACACACAAACAGCCCTAAAGGCCCAAAAGGTCTAAAATAGGCTTCCTCCTAGACCCGAAAACGTGAGAAACCCAAACCTCATATGAGAAAAATTCGCAAAACAGCCTCCCACAATGTCTCCACTCAAAATACCCTCAGAATCCCACACACACAAAAGCCTAAATGCCCAAGAGACCCAAAAGAGGCTTCATCCCAGACCCTAACACGTGACAAACCCAAGCCTCATGTGAAAAAAAAGCCGCCAAACAGCCTCCCAAAAGGCCTCCACTCAAAATACCCTCAGAATCCTACACAGAAACAGCCCTAAATGCAGAAAAGGCCCAAAATAGGCTTCAGCCTCGACCCTAAAACGTGAGAAGCCCAGACCTCATGAAAAAACAAGCGCAAAAGAACCTCCCAAAATGTCCCCACTCAAAAGACCCTCAGAACCCCACACACAAGGAGCCCTAAATGCCCAAAAGACCCAAAATAGGCTTCATCCTAGGCCCTCAAACGTGAGAAACCCAAACCTCATATGAAAAAAAAATCGCAAAACAACCCCCCAAAATGTCTCCACTCAAAACACCCTTAGATTCCCAAACACAAACAGCCCTAAATGCCCAAAAGACCCAAAGTACGCTTCATCCTAGACCTAGAACGTGAGAAACCCAAACCTGATATGAAAAAAAAAATCGCAAAACAACCTCCCAAAATGTCTCCATTCAAAATACCCTCGGAATCCCACACACAAACAACCCTAAATGCCCAAAAGACCTCAAATACGCGTCATCCTAGACCCTAAAACGGAGAAACCCAAGCTTCATAAGAAAAAAAAATCGCAAAACAACCTCCCAAAATGTCTCCACGTTCAAAATACCCTTAGAATTCCACACACAAACAACACTAAATGCCCAAAAGACCCAACATAGGCTTCGTCCTAGACCCCAAAACGTGAGAAACCCAACCTCATATGAAAAAAAAGATCGCCAAGCACCCCCAGAACCCCAAACACAAGCAGCCCTAAATGCCGAAAAGACCCAAAATACAGAACATGGCCTGCAGAAGGCTTCAATCGCAAAACAACCTCCCAAAATGTCTCCACTCAAAACACCCTCAGGATCCCACACACAAACAACCCTAAATGTCCAAAAGACCAAACATTGGCTTGTTTGTTGGCCTCGGCAGAGGTGAGGCCCGGTTGGTTCCCTCCGACCGAATTGGCCTAAACGAAGGCGCGCCGGGCTTCTGAGAAGACTCTGCTTTTTGCAATCTTGCGCGCTGGCGCATTGCTGGTGCTGCTGGTAAGTTTGTCCCTGAAGTGACGCACAGCCGCGCAGATCACGGGTTGTCATGAGCTGGAGGCGCAACAAGTAGCGCCAGTATGTGATGAGCCGAAGTTGCCACGCATGGAAAGGCAACAAAAATCATGTCACGATGAGCCGGAGACACGCCACGGCCATTAAATCACTAATTTATCTTTAGGTCCGAGTCTGAATCCAGCCATGGACACAGAGTTTCGTCGATCGTTATCGGATCGTCCGAGATGCTGCACTTATTGCGCATTGCCACTTTGCTGATTGGTGCATGCTGTCAACAAACGGACCTTCCGTGGGGTTGGGTACATGGATCCTTAGGGGAATGATTAAGGCCACGGCCGAATCCGCAGCGGAATCCACGCTGGCTGCTCAAAACAAGGCGAGGCAGCGAGGATGATGCATGGCTGCACTTCCGACACATTGTTAGCTATCCTGACCGTGTTGTCCCCGCCAGTTTAGGGCTTAAGGTCACGACGCAGGACGTGTAAATGTGATACGCTGGCTGCTCGACTGGGTTGTAAGTACAAATTTCAATATTTTTTTTGGATCTGGGTTCTCCTTCTAGTTACTTCATGAGGCGCTGCAGTCTCGGCCGGCGATCAGGGCGGGGTGTCCTGGGTCGTCGCCACACGTGTTTCTTGGTCTGGACCTTGGGCCCTATTGTTTCCGGCGCGGCGGTCAGATTCGGGAAGTGCCTGCGTGCACAGGGCCCCAAGGACTGAGCACGTAGCCCCTAGTTTGGCGGAACCCACCTTGGCCGAGTGGGGCCGACTTAATGCTGGGAGGGCTTCTGTCGCTGATCTTGTTGCTTTCGTCCTTCTCCGAGCACGTAGCGTGGCTTGCTTCCTTTCTTTCATTCTTTTTTTCTTTCTGTACGCTTGTGCTTGCAGTGCTTTGCTGCCGCGCCTGGTGTCAATGAATCAAGGACTTTCCGTCGGAGCCCAGAAGGCGCGGCCGAAGCAACGGCCGCAGTGACGTCATGAATTAAGGTATGTCTCGCAATCCCCAGCCATGCTGTTGATTGATTTCGTTACTTACTTAGAATTAGAATTTCGCAAGAGTAACAATAGATGAGCTGGCAAGGACGAGGAATGTAGGGTGGTACATTTTGTCGGCCACCGCGTGGCCGGCTTTACTGTGCGGCGTGAGTTTGAAAGAGCCGCCGGCGCGTTCCACCCCAGCTGTGGGGGAAAAAGAGAGTGTTGATCGCAGTGGCACTGTCGCTTCCTTGTGAATGTCTCATTCATGCCACGTTTCCTCGCGACAGGCGTGGCTGAGGAGACGACAGACTGGTGCCGTGCTCGGTTCTTCTGTCGTCCATGGTCCATGTGGGTTGCGCGTTGTACATACTGTAGATTCGTCCGATGAACATTACATGACAATAATTACTTGGTAATCACTTAGACTTAGTGCATGGGAGTCGGGCAAGGACCTCCCGTTTTGGACGCTGACCTTCCTCTCAGGTTGGGCCTTTCGACCGAGACTCGACTTCCAGTCTCCAGAGTGCCGGCCCGAGTATCTCGATGCAAAGACGGCACTTGGCTGCAGCCCCAAGTCTGTGCTGCGCGTGAGTCTTGCCATCAACTTTCTGATATTATGTCTGATGCTCCCGTGCAGCACAGTTGCGCAGCAGGCGCACGTGACTGAAATCAAAGCGCCTGCTTACTCTCAAAGCTCGGAAGTACGGTCCCCGAGCATGGGCCCTAAGCCTGTTTACCCTTATGTAAAAACACATACAGTTACAGGGTTTATAATATCAGGGCCTTAAGCTTGGGGAGCCTTCGCCTGGGCATCTTCAAGCAAGCGAAACATGGCTGATGCGCCCGCGGCATCAACAGCTGCTTCGTCCAACGCCCCAGAGGCGCGCAGCGCTGCGAAGAAAGTCTAAGTTTCAGTGCAATTCAAGTCTGCCTTTTACATGTTTTGAAGACATGAGGCCCGGTCGCCGCCCGAGACAAAGGCGCCCAGTGCCGATCCCAAGGCAAAGGTCAAGCGCCGAAATCCAGGCAAACATGAGCGTGAACATAATAAGCGCCGAAAACTGGCAGCCGAAGCAGCAAGGCTTCAATAGATCTTGCTGTGATACAACTTGTTCTCGTCATACTACGTTGACGGATTCTGGCTGTTGCTCATTGCCTGGCTGTCTCAGGCAAAAGAAACATTGCAGTCAGGCAAGGACAAAAGCACGAAGCCCAAGCTTTGTGAGCTGCACCTCAGTCTCCTTGCGGAGGTGGCCGTGGCCTGGCAAGAAAATAGTTACGGAAAGGCTTCAATCCCGAGGCTTCTCTAAGAATATCTTCGCGTGTTAGTTAGAATCACCAATAAGTACGGAAGGTCTTAAAGTCTTACTCATGTGTGGCGCTACTCGGTCAGGAGCTGAACAAACTGCTCGAGGACTACAAGAACTCGTTCTTCTGGTATAAGTGCAATCGCCCGAACCAGTATTGGGTGGAAGGCTGTGGTCTGCTGAATTCCAAATATCTCAACCTACCCCAGATTTCGAACGAGCTGCGCTATCCGGCGGCCGATGCGAGCATGAAAGACGTGATTCGTTCCGTCCAGGCTGGGCTGAGGTTTTAGCGTAAAAACTTCTTGACAGATGTTTCAGCAGTGATGAACATGAGACGAGGTAGAGCTAGATTTCTGATCCATGATTTCAAGCCAAGGCCTTGACATCAGTTTGCGCGGAGGTGTACCAGGTTCTGATGTGGTGGGATCGATGTGTCCCCGGCAATCCATTCAAGTTCTGGGGCCCTCCCAGCATCCGGGCATTGATTTATTGGGTTGCAAGTGCATGCAAGCCAGTCAGGCATTCCCGCCTCTGTACATGTCACTTTTTGGCCCAGGACGTGACACGCCTGCTGCCCCCGCCGCCCCCGCCGCCCGAGGGCACGGCCAGACTGTTTCTTCGAGTTCCAGCGGGCGGAATTAGCTTCTCGTGTCGGCCCCTAAAACGAAAGGCAAGAAAGTAGCCACTTACGAGACATGGCTCCAAGTTGAGAAGAGGTCGAAGGCGTCTATGTGTCACGTGCATTAGTTTTCGCTCCGAATCCACATGTGCCACGAACGACTTGGACATTAGCGCTGCAGTGCCGCAAAAAGGCATAAGTATGACCGTTGCAAGCCCTGCAGTCCCAGAGCCTAAAATACAAACAAACCCGAGCTCGGGCCCCGACATCCTCCGGAAGTCCAGCTTGCCAGCAGGTCTCGGCCTCCCCTGGGATGATGGTCTTCAGTTGTTGAGTAGGGATGAAACAAAATTGCTTCCGCATTAAGGAATCCGAGTCAAATCTGGACACCCAACGTCTAGTCATCGTACTCATGATCAAAAGCCCTCCAAGTCCACGCACAGTGTACACCTAGACACTTCAGAGATGTGCCCCGCACCTCAGCGCCAAGCCAAGCACCAGCGCTCGGGCGCCTGGGCGAAGTACAGTGTAGACACAACATCAACTTAGAACGAACATGCTGGTTGCTTCAGTGACTTCGGCTGTTTTTTCCGGGCGTTTGGAGCCACCCATTTGCCACCAGGTTTCACCATCCCAGGGGCCCATAAAACCCTGAGCCCGATGGCTTGGTGCCTTTTGCGATGAGCTCGAAGCGCAAGCGCAAGTCTGAACCTGTGCCGGTGCCTGGGACGAACCATTAAAGCAATTGGGGTTCTTGAGGTAGGCGTCAAGATTCTGGCATGTGAGCGTGAATTGTGTCTGCGTGATTTAGGAGGCATCTGGTCCTCCTCTGCCAGTGGGCCACGTGCCTTCTTCTCCAGCACCAGCCGCTCCTCTGCATGAGAGCATACCCAGGTATACCCGTGGGCTTGATGTAGTAGGTGTGCGCGTACGAATTTCTAGTCTGATTCCAAGTCTGTCTTCTATATGCCAGATAGGCTGGTGGATGTGAGGTTCCGATTCCGACGGTGCCGGGAGCGACAGCTCCTAGTCCTGCTCATTGGAGGGCACCGGCGCATACTCGACCGACGGCGCCGGTCGTGCCTGCGCGACCCTTGCAGCCGCGGCCGCCGAAGGTTGGCAAGCCGCCGCCGCAAGCGGAGGCTGCACGTCCGATCGGCAGAGTGGATTCTCGGATGTGGCAGTTGTGACTGTAACTGTGACAGGTCGTCGAATTTAAGTGCAAGTCAGCAAGTTTCCTGATTTGGTTCCTGGATCGTGTTGGAGTCTCTGATTTCTGGCTTTGTGAATGTCACACGTCCCTGGAGCTGAGGCTCCGGCAGCTCTGGTGCCGCCGTCAAGAGAGGCGTCGTCTGCTGAATCACCTGCCCCCCCCGTTCGCCCGAGCGTGGCCTTGGCATGCCCACACGGCTGGTACCAGGGGACGGGCCCCGATGGGACTCCATATTATTTTAACCCGATCTCCAGAGTGTCCACTAGCACTCGACCGAACTTTGCCGAGGCGGTGCCTAGTCTGAGCCTTTATCATTTTTGCAGTTACGGTTTGGGTTAGTTTGTCCGTTAATTAGTTGTTTCCTGAGAAACACTGGTGACTCTGAGGTTCGCTCGCCAGACCAGGATCGCTTCATGAAGTGGACGGTGGTGGGGGTTGACGGCCGTGAGAAATTTGTTTGGTACAGGGAGAGAGAGACAACACGGCGAGAACCGAGCCAGCATCCTCATCTTCTTCGAACAGCTCGCGATCGAGACGCCGGCGCGTCGACAGTCGCAAGCACGGTCGTTGATGCTTAGTTCACACAGTATATACGCTTTCTTAGCAAGGCTGGCAAGAGTTCACTTTTTCTTGTTCCAGCATGACGCAAGCTAAGTAAGGAGTCTAGACCTGGAAACCATTAATCAATGCAATCTGAGCCCAAAAGACAATGTCCTGGCCTGGAGACTTGACAGGCTGAATCCAGAGTAAAGTGTATGAACAGTGCAGCAACGTGACATGCTAGAATTTGCTATACGGAGAATGCAATGAGACCCGAAGAGCCCAAACGTGCGCCTCCCAAGGCAAAGGAGAAGACGAAGGCGAAGCCGAGCTGACGTGCGGTAAAAAGGGGGGGCAGCTACAGTACCGGGGGCCCAGGCTTGATGTGAATCTTGCGAATCTGCGTAATACCCTCATATGCTCTTCAACAGCTCGTTTGTTAATCCTTGGCTCACCTTGGTTAGTTCGTCATGGCCATGCCCGACGCGCCATCCCTTCTCCGGTCATTGACATGAGGGGATAAGCATAGCGCCCCGTCTGCCTTTGTCAGGCATTATGCTTGTCCTCTGCAGCGTGCGCCTAGTGAGCAAGCGTCTGAACCTCTTGAATCCCGCCTCCCAGGCCTCGCGATCGAAGGAAGTCTCGAACCAGCTCGACAGTGCCGCGGCCCTGGAGTGTGAAAACCAACTGAAGTTCATTTCGCCCCAATGTGAGTTTGTTTGTCGCTTTATTTGCCCTGCGCACTTAGATCCATAGTTTTTGCTTGGTAATTTCGATCAGCGTCGGAGTCATTCTGAAGCGTTGTAACGTATGACACATCATGACTCATGATGGACAAATGTCTTTTCAGGTTCGTACTGAATTTAAGATTTGCAAGCTTGGACCTTGGGTTTACTGGAATCAGCATGGCCGTTCCTCGCAGATTGCGTGTCAAGTCTGCGCCTTCCATGCCGGGGTTGGCCGAGGACCTCGTCGTTGGCATTTTTGCCCGAAGAAAGTCCCCAGAAGGGTTCAAAACGGAAGGTGTACGTCTTGATGGCATTGCAGCCATGCTTCGTGTAACTTACAAGACTAGGCTTTCGTAGGAATTAGAGTAGTACACCTTGATTTGACTCATGGTAGTACACCTGAACAGGAACTTTCTCGTACTTTATTGTAGCACACCTTACTCGGAACTATCGCACCATATGTTTGATAGGAAATGCCGTTGTGTCGGGGATAGGACCCCAGCTCTAGGGTTCAAATCTGTCACTATGAGATCCACAAACACCAGCAAAAAGTTCTCACGGATCTCCGTCGCGGTCAAGAGATGTTGGTCCAGGCTAGCTCTTAAGCACGACAGAGGTCACATCAGGCATGGTTGAACTCCGTCAATATCTCCTGGTCCACCGGACGGCCCTGTAAGTCCTGAAGAACCGAAGCCCTAAACCCTAGACTCGCCGCGCTGGGACCTGATGAAGCTGCGTTGTACAGGGCAAAAGGCAACAGGGCTGCAGAACTTGAACAATGTCGTGCTTAAGGTTAGCCTTCCTGGATCAGGGGGGTGCGTGCTGCGATCTCCGGTTCCAAACCCTAACCCCGAAACCCGCAACCCTACACCCAGCCCGACCCACTCTGAAAACCCTAACCTCTAAACCCTTAAACCCTAAACCCTAAACCGCAAACCACTCCCTAAACCCTAAAGCCTACCAGGACGAGGAGGGTTTTTCGGAGTTAGGGGTTCATCCTGGGCTTTCCGCACTGCTGGACAAGAGTCCCAAAACCTGAACCCTAAACCCGAAACCCGAAACCCTAAACCCCCAAAACGGGTCCATACTTCGGAGCCCTGTTTAAGGAGGTCAGGGACCATCCCTAAGGGCAAGCAGATCTACCCTTGGAGGACGCTCAAGAACAGGGAGTCAACATGAAGCACCTCTTCCGGTGGGAGAAGGATGGCGGCAGCCCCAGGGTTGAGGGTTTAGGGGTTGAGGGTTTTTAGGGTTTAGGGTTGAGGGTTGACGGTTTAGGGCTTGGTGATTAGGGTCTAGGGCAGCTCTGAAGCAGCTGCCAACATCGCGTTTCGCGGGGCTTGAATGAAGCATTACAAACCAGCAGGGTAGCGCACTCCTCCGCAAAGCGCCACAAGCCCAATCACTTTTGAATTACAATCCCAAAGCCTAGGTCAGTTCGGATTTGCGTAACCTTAGCGTACGACCCCCAGCTAAATAAACAAGTCCTCTACCAAGTCTTAGCCACGAAAAGCGCCAAAGCCCTTAACCCCCCGAAATCCCCTAAAGGGTTGAAGTCTCGGGTTTGGGGAGGTGAGCGAACACACCAAATCGAGTGAACAGCCAACTAACATGTCGACGAAGGGACGTTGACCGTGAAGATGACCTCCAAAAAGGAGACAAGACAAGAGCAAAACAACTTTGAGAAGATCGCCTTCTACATACAGGTGGTTTTCTTTATCCAGTACCCAAAGAGCCCAACATCTTTTGAACATGGAAGATACCTGAAGATTATCTTAAGGAATCCGGTTGCCGCAAACTGAGGTCGGCTTCTCTTTATTGCAGGTGGTTGATCCCAAGGACTCTGGAACTGGGTCAGGGTTGCTTAAAAAAAATCAGAACAACGGAGGGTTTAGGGTTATGGGTTTAGGGCTTCTTTGGTTTGGGGTTTAGGGTTTCGGGTTCAGGGTTTAGGGACGGCATTAATATCTCATAGCCATGCCTCAAACGTCTTTCTTTGTGAAGGGGGAGGGGCGGGGGCGTGTATATTCGCGGGAGGCGATTGTGCGCTGCTCTGTGCGCTCCTCTGTCACCAGGCATATCGGAGCCACTATAGTGTATTAGGGTTTAGGGTGTAGGCGGGCCCTTTGGGCGTCTCTATTTTTTGGTATACTCCTTATAAGACAGTCTTGTATGGTGTGACAAAAAGGCCCTCAACAAGCCAGGAGTGGCTGAAGATTTTTGCACCCCAAGCCCCAAACCCTAAACCTTAAACCCCACACCCCAAACCCTAAACCCTAAACCCTAAACCCTGCACCCTAAGGCCCTCAACAAGCCCCCCAAGCCCCAAACCCTAAACCCTAAACCCTACACCCCAAGCCCTAAACCCTAAACCCTAAACCCTGCACCCTAAACCCGAAACCCTACAGCCTAACCCTCAAACCCTAAGCCCTAGACCCTAAACCCTAGACCCTAAACCCCACAGCTTAAACCTAAAACCCTCAGCCCTAGACCCGAAACTGTACACCCTGAACCCGAAACCCTACAGCCTAAACCTTCAACCCTAAGCTCTATAGCCAAACCCCCAAACCCTTATCTCTAATTCCTACACTCTAACCCTACATCTTAAACCTTAAGCCCGAAGCCCTACACCCTCAACCCCAACCCTAATCCTTAATCCTTACACCCTAAACTCTAAACCCTACAGCGTAAACCTCAAACCCTCAGCTCTGAAGCCTTTCTATCCGCTCTGCGGTCGAGATTCGCCACGAGGAGCGCTATGTGCGCGAGCTGGCTCGCAACCACGGCTTCACGTTGGATGAGGCGGTAAACACTGAGAGTCCCTAAACCGTAAACCCTAGACCCTGATCCAACCCTTGAGCATCTTACGGCCCGCCCGACCTCCTATGCCCTATGTTGAAACCTTAAGGCTCGTCGCGGTAATCTATCTGTCCCAAGGGCCCAAACCCTCCCAATGTTACCCTAAACCCGAAACTATAAAGTCTATACCCTAAACCCAAACCCCAAACTCTAAGACTTAAACCCTAAGCCCTAAGCCCTAAACCACGAGGGCTTTGCCTTCGCCCGCAGTTGGAAGGCTTCTTGTAACGTTTCGGGATGTTAAGGGTGTAGATTTCAAGGTCCCAAGCCTCTAGTGCGGTGCCCTCGCCCAACACCCTATGCCCCTATAACCCCAAACCCACGTCAAGCAACACCGTTTGCTGGCTAGGCTGGTGCTGAAACAGCGCGCTGCACTGTTCTTACCTTCAACCCTCAACCCTAAACCCTAAACCCCCGAACCCTGAACACTAAACCGTAAAGACCCTCAACCCTAAACCTGGGCTCGAAACCTCCACCTTTCCTAAACCTTTCTTAAATCTTGCGTAAATCCAGAATCGTGAATTCTATGCCTGTTGTAAGCTCAATGAAAAACTTAAGCGCGTTGCCTAAACGGCAATTGACATCCTAGACGTAAACCGTAACTAAACTGTGGCCCCAAAACTAGAACCCCTGTCCCTAAACCCTAAACCCTGTGCGTACCCTGAACCCTAAACCCTAAGACCTACAAAACCCTGGGTTTGTATTGGTTGCCCAAGCCCTTTAAAGCCTAAACCCTGAACCCTGAACCCTGGATTCTAAACCCTAGAGCCCGGAAGCCTGAACCCTAGACCTGCAGGGCCTTTAGGGCTTTCCCTAAGTGTCCATGTACCGAATTTTGGTCTACCTGGGCTGTACAGTACTTCCTATATAGTGCCTTTGGGGCCCAAGTACCCTAAACCCTAAACCCTAATTAGGTACATGGACCCTTAGGGTTTCGCTCTCCAGGACTTCGCACGGGATCATCATCCGGGCAGCCGGGGCCTTTATGATCTGCAGCTTTGGGCGTGATTGGCTGCACGCGGCTGCCCCTAAATTGGGTTTAGGGTTTAGGGTTTAGGGCCCTAAGCCCGAAACTCGGAACACCTAAACCCCTAACCCCGAAACTCTAAACCCTAAACCCTGGAGGGCTTTGAAGCCCAAACCAACACCTCTCCCCCTAAACCTGAAACCTCTGCGGCTCCAGAAATTCCTTGGGTTCTAGTGTCTCAGGGTTTAGGGCCGAGGGTTTAGGGTTGAGGGTTTAGGGCTGAGGATTTAGGGCGGTTGCGCGTTTGAGAGCTCGCGGTTTAGGTTTTTGGGGTTGTAGGGCTTCGGAATTCAGGCTGCTCTGGGGTTTCGCTTTAGGGCTCAGAGAATGCGAAGCCTTGCCCTAAACCGTAAATCCTGGAAGCCCTAAAACCTAAATCCCAAACCCAAGGAAACCTGAAGCTCTAAACCCTAAGCCCTAATTCCTAAACTCGAAACCCTAAACTGTAAATCCTGAACCCTAAACGTTTAGTCCAACGCTGGAGTACCCTTCAGGGTTTAGACTTTGGGGTTTAGGCTCTAGGCTTTAGGATTTTCAGGGCTTTGGTTTTAGGGTTTCGGGGTAAAGCTTCTTTGGCGGTGGTACGGCGGGTTCAGGGATTAGGGTTGAGCTTTAAGGCGCTTAGGGGGCTGAGGTGTTTCGGGGGTTTAGGGTTTAGGGCTCAGGGGGTTTCGGGTTTTAGGGGGTTTAGGGTTTGAGGGTTGATGGACTACGTTTGAGGGTTAAGGCGTTTCGGGTGTACAGCTTAGGGACCAGGGTCCAGGGTTTAGGGTTTAGGGCTAAGGCTCAGGGGGTTCAAGTTTGGGTGGGTTGAGGGTTGAGGGTTTAATTAAGTGGGCCGAGTGTTTATGGGGTTGAGGAAGTGCAGTTTAAAGGGTCATGGGTTTAGGGGCTACAGTAAAGGGTTTGAGGGGTTCAGAGTTCAGGGTCTAAGGGCGATGCAGTGGTTTTGGGGTTGAGGGGTTGAGGCTCGAGCGGTTTGGGTGTAGGAGTTTAAAATTGACAGTGTAAGGGCGGCCGAGTGGTTTAGATCTGCATTGCCATCGGTCACACAAGCATTGGCTGCCGACACGACAGCAGACATTGATCCAGCTGAAGACGTCAAGAACTCGCCGTTTCTCCGGGCTTTGCTCGGCAGAAGAACGATTGGCATGTGCTGGACCGTTGTTTCGCGGTGAACCTCGGCAAGCTGGAGCACTCAGCTGAAGAAGCTTTTGCATTCTGAGCAGACCAGACAGCTGCAGCGTGCACCATTGCAGGGATGAGAGCACCCTGTAGCGGGGCATGAATATCCTGAAGCTCCTGAAGCTTAAACTCTCTAGAACCCTTGAATCCTACAACCTTCGGGTTTAGGCTTTCGGTTTGGGGTTTAGGCCGAACCGTCGCCATGCTTGCCACTCTAAACCTTCAACCCCAAACCCAAAAACCAAAAGTCTGAACCCTAAAACGTCAACCCTAAACCCTAAACCCCTAAGCCTTCAACCCTACACCCGAAACCCCAAGCCCTCAACCCTCAAGCTGTAAGCTCTAAACCCTATACCCTAAATCCTGGCTGACAGGTCGCGGGGCTTGAAAACTGCACGGGCCCTCATCGGTAGCCCTCAACTGTAAGGAATATACGGAACTCGACAACCTTTGGGGTCGATATTGCTTGAACAGTTTGGCATACTTTTAACCCTAAACCCTCAACCCTAAACTGCCAGGTTCCGGCTTTTCCGTATGTCCACGGTCTTGAGAGCTAAGCTCTGCAGGAAGGACGCTCGGTCCGACAGTGGATTTAGGGTTCAGGGTTTAGGGTTCAGGGTTAGGGTTTAGGGTCAAGGGTTTAACATGCAGAGGTTTGGGGTTTAGAGGGCTACAGGTTTAGGGTTTAGAGGGTTAGAGGTTTAGGGTTTGGCGTTTAGCACCCTTGTTCCCCTGCGTGGGCTTCGTTTTCAGGGTTGAGGGTTAGGAGCCTTATTCCCTTGTTCGGGCTTAGGGTTTGGGGTTTTTTTTAGGGTTTAGGGTTTAGGGTTCAGGGTTTAGAATCCAGGCTTCAGAGTTTTGGACCCTCCATAACGCACAATTCAACGGCACAGGGCGCCTATTTATCTCCTGGGCTTGTCAGGAGCTACTAAGCATTACACGAAGCCCTTGGATCTTGGACAGTGTCAGGCTTTCTGGTGGGTAGTCTCCCCCATAGACCCCCTCTCTTGATATAGCCTTGAGTGCCCTAAGATATCCTCTTGTAGTGTGGAGTCTTTATACAAGGGAGCCGCACTATCCTGAAGCTCGTTTGGATCCCCCCCACAGGGTCAAACCCTAAACTCTAAACCCTAAAATCCTGAAGACCTAAACCCTAAGCCCTAAACCCTAAACCCTAAACCCTAAAGCCTAAAGCCCTAAACCCTAAACCCTAAAACCCTGAACTTTAAAATTTTAAATTGCCCTTAAGATCCCCTCGAAAAGGTTCTGCTGGATGGCTTCGTGCTCGCGCACATCCGGGCGCAGAAGGCTATGGTGCACTTCTTCTGCCACCGAGGCTGGAACCTGAAAAGGGTTTAGGGTTTATGGTTTAGGGTTAGCCCTGAAGACAGCCTGCAGCCCTGAAGCCTGAAGAACGTCAAGACCCCGAAACTCCCACCTGGAGGATCAGGGGACTTAGTAAGTAGGTTTAGGGTTTAGGGCTCAGGGTTTCGGGGATCAGGGGACTTAGTAAGTAGGGTCATCAGTACGTTAATTGGGCTTAGAAGTGATTACTATAGTTACCTTACGTAGAATCCTACTTACCAAGTCCCGTGATCCTTCAAGCAACCCCCAGTCCCCTCCCCCCCTTAAAAAAAAACCTATAAACTTTCTTTATTTCTTTCTTTCTGAAGAAAGAAAGACATACAAACAAGTGCTCCCTGAAGTGCCTGAAGACTTAGTGTTGCGAGGCTCCGGGACGGGGAAGGGTCTTAGGGTTTAAGGTTTATGGGTGTATGGGTTTAGAGTTTAGGGTTTAGGGTTCAGGTTCCGCCTTTCGTTGCGTCTGGGTCTGGTGCACGACGGATTGTGCCGACGGTGGATTGGTTTGGGATTTAGGGTTTTGTTTCGGGTTTTTTGAGGGGTTTAGGGGTGGTTTAGGGTTTAGGGTTTAGGGTTTGGAGTTTAGGGTTTAGGGTTTAGGGTGAGGGGGCTCACATTTGAGGGTGTTCCAGATGGTGCCTTTTATGGTTTAGGGTTTAGGATTGGGGGTCCTTAAATTTAGCGGTTATGCCTTCAGGGATCAGTGCAGCTGTAAGTTCCCGTGGAAAAAAATCATTTGGCTGTCTAGGGTTTAGTGTGACATGGGGCAGAAATTGGCAGGTAAGGAATCCAGGGTTTTAGGGTTTAGGGTTTATGGTTCAGGGCATGAGTTCGTTGAAAGTTCGGGGGAGGGGGGGGGGGGCAACAGCAACCCTAAACCCATAAACCCTCAAGGCACAAATACCCAAAGAGCTCTAAGCTGTCCACCTGCGGCGCGGTCTAGGGTTTGACGGGCACAAGTCCCCGGAACCCGGAACTTCCCACCCCCGCCCCCTCCTTCTCAGGACCTGATGCAGAAAGGAAGGGGATGGCATCTTGCAAGATTCACGGCTTGCATCCAGAAACCTCACAGTTCCTGGAGGCAGGGCATCGCTAGGGCAGCGCGCATGTCGAAGAAGCGATATGGGATTCGGGGTTTGGTCTGCGTCGTTCAGGGTCTCGATTTGTGTTTTTAAAGGTGGGTTGGGGTATATTGGCACACCTAATCCTTAAACCCTAAGCCCTCACCCCCAAACCGTAATCCCTAATCAGTAAACCTAAAACCTTTATCCCTAAACCCTAAACCCCAAACTCTAATCACCAAGCCCAAAAACCCTTATCCCTAAATCCTGAACCCTAAACTCTAATTTCTAAGCCCCAAACCTTAAAACTGGTCCTGTTATATGTCGGGTGTTACACTGTCCGCGTAATCCTCTGCAGACACGGGCTCGGCAAGTAGGCAAGCTTTCCGCGGAGAGGCGCGCGTGCTAGTTCTGTGTTCGGATGGATCGTTCAAGTTGGCGCCTTCTTGTTGTGACTCTGAAGGAGGAGCAAAACGCTGCAGGTGATGCTTCCCAGCGCATACGCACCGTGCTACAGCTTGCGGAGGTGCCCGTACAGAAGCTGAAGCGTCAATCTGCTACCGGAAAGTCATACTTGCTGTGGGTCAATGTCGACATCGTGGAGGTTGCTGAGCGTGCCCTCACAGACATCGCTACCATCCGTGTGGTGTCCGATGCGGAATCGAAGCAGCGTGCGCAGGCTGACCTCGAGCTAAAGCGCACTCGTGAAGCGCAAGCTGCATCGGCGACTGTGCAGTTGGAGGCTGTTAGTGATGCTGCTCGCATGGCGCTCCTGCTCCGGGGCGACGGTGGAAGTGCAAAAGCCCGTCGCAGAGACGGCAACTCGCTTGCATTACCTGTATCTTGTTTGCTTGTCTCGCATGCTGTCCATGTGCTGTCGTGCTGCTGCTACTGTTACTGCGACTATTGCTGCCGGCTCTAGTCTAGTAGCTAGGTCTTTTTGCAGTCGAAGAAGTAGTAGTAGTAGTAGTAGTAGTAGTAGTAGTAGTAGTAGTAGTAGTAGTAGTAGTAGTAGTAGTAGTAGTAGTAGTAGTAGTAGTAGTAGTAGTAGTAGTAGTAGTAGTAGTAGTAGTAGTAGTAGTAGTAGTAGTAGTAGTAGTAGTAGTAGTAGTAGTAGTAGTAGTAGTAGTAGTAGTAGTAGTAGTAGTAGTAGTAGTAGTAGTAGTAGTAGTAGTAGTAGTAGTAGTAGTAGTAGTAGTAGTAGTAGTAGTAGTAGTAGTAGTAGTAGTAGTAGTAGTAGTAGTAGTAGTAGTAGTAGTAGTAGTAGTAGTAGTAGTAGTAGTAGTAGTAGTAGTAGTAGTAGTAGTAGTAGTAGTAGTAGTAGTAGTAGTAGTAGTAGTAGTAGTAGTAGTAGTAGTAGTAGTAGTAGTAGTAGTAGTAGTAGTAGTAGTAGTAGTAGTAGTAGTAGTAGTAGTAGTAGTAGTAGTAGTAGTAGTAGTCGTCGTTGTCGTAGTAGCTTCTTTTCAGGCGGGCGTGCGCTACGTGTGTTGGATCGATGCAGTGCCTTACAGGTGGCAGGTCTCCGTGTGAAAGATGTGGTAGTGCAAGACCAAGAACAGGACGACTAGCTGCTGGTAATGTTGTCTGTTAGCGATACTCAAGAGGCAACTAGGCTCCACGCACAGCAGAGCGAGAGGGCCTAGTCTGAGTTATGTACAGCAGTTGATGTCTGGACCGAAGCTGTGGAAGCCACGTTGTGCGCGTTTGTACAGGCTGAACGCGGGACCGTGGAAGGCTTAGCTCAGCAGCAAAAGAGCAGACTGCAGCAGCATACCATTTGTGCACAATGCTCCGTGATCGAGCTCGATGTCCTACATGGGGGCATTTCTATCAGGTTTTCGGCATAAAGTACCTGTCCAAGTACTTGCCCAGATAGTATGAGCGGTCTTTGGCGCATCGCTTGTTTAAAGCCCCTGCTTACCCCACGCATGGTTGCGGCGGCTCTGGACGCCCTACGTCAAGCATGTGCTGGCTTCACTCTGTGCACTGCCCTAAGAACCTCAAAAAGTGCCGCAAACTGAGGAGGACCCTGTATCCCAGACGCATACTGGAGTACATTGTAGAAGTTTTCTTCAGGGGTTTACAATAAACCAGGGGCCCCTAATAATGGGTTTAGGGTTTTGGGTGTAGGGTTTAGGGTTTAGGGTTTACGGTTTAGGATCCCTAAACCTCAAAATAATCGGATCCCTTTATAACAAGGACCCACCAATGTCCTGTAGTATATTATATTATACTGCCAGCATCTGACATGGCAGAGGAGGGCAAAGTACGATACCTAAGGATATCCTTAGATAACTAGCCAGAGACTCCAATACCCTGTATTTATTATAGAATATATGTTAAATTATACTAGGGATCCTCACATGATTTAAACCCTAAACCCTAAACCCCAAACCCCAGATCTGCGGCAGGCAACGACCCGCAAAACAAAGAGCCCAAGGCCGAGATCGCTTGGTGGCTTGGCTGCAAATCCTTTAGGGTTGTAGGTTGCTAGGGGCTTAAGGTTCTCGGGTTTAAGGTTCTAGGGTTTAAGGTTTAGGGTGTAGGGTTTAGTGTTGTAGGTTGTGAGGGGTTCAGGGGTTTAAGGTTCTGGGGGTTCCAAGCTTGTATTTTAGGGTCTGGGGGTTTGTGGGGCTTTGGGGTTTAAGGTTTCTTGTTGCCTTTTGTCTCATCAGCGCTGTTGTAGTTTTCTTCAAATGGGATGATTGCCAGTATCGTTGTTTCTCCTCCAAAAGGGGGCTTCATGTGTAGGGTGGTTCTTTTTGTTTGGGGGGGGATAGGGTTTAGGGTCTAGGGCTTAGGGTCTAGGCATCATCCAAGACCCAACAACATTAGCTCGTAACTAGATGCTCAAGTCCTGCACCACTCAGCCCTGCCCCAACCCCCTAAACCCTAAACTTTAAACCCTAAGCCCTACACCCTAAGCCTGAAACCCGAAACCCCAAGCCGTACCCCTTTGCATGTCGCGATCCCGGTCCGTCGGCGATGGCAGGGAGAAGTCCTTCTGAAGCTCAACCTTCGCAGTGGGAACAGGGTCTAAGATGGTATAAGCTTAACATGGTTAAGGTTTAGGGTTTAGGGTTTAGGGTTCTGGGTTTAGGATGGTTAAGTTTAGGGTCTAAGATGGTTTTAGCTTAACATGGTTAAGTTTAGTTTAGGGTTAACAGTTTAGGGCTCAGGGTGTAGGGTTTAGGTTTTTAGTTTTTTTTTGAGTTTTTGGGAAGTAACTCTGTACCCCGAAGCTGACATTGGGGTTTTCGGGATTATGGGGTCTTGATCTTTGGATGTGCTGTTTATGCAGCGAGGGTGGTCTTCCACATGAGTTGCGATGTCAATTGCCAAGCGACTGGTCCTGAGACTCTTTCCAGAAACCCTAAAGTCTATATCCTAAACCCTAAACCCTAAACCTTGAACTGTAAGGCCTAAACCCTAAGCCCTAAACCCTAAACCCTAAATCCGAAACCCAACATCTAAAACCCTCAACCTTAAGTGGCACACATCCTGAGCCTCAAGCCCCCGAAAACGAAATCGGAAGCCTCTTGGAAGCCCAGTCTTGGAGGGTTTAGGGTTTAGGGTTTAGGGTTAAGGGCCTCCAGAGCTCTATGCACTCCAAGCCCCACCAGGTGTGCGTTGGTGTCGATGCACTGCCGGCCATCATCTTCCTGATTCTGCTGCCTTTTCTGCTGCTGCTGCTGGTGAGCTGTGCAAGCCAAGATCCGAACCAAGAGAGTCTGCTGGCAAAGAGAAGCCCCTAAACCCTTCAACCCCTCAACCCCTAGACCCCTAGACTGGGCCCCTAGACTCCTAGACCCCTAGACAGGGCCACTAGACCCCTAGACCCCTAGACCCCTAACCCTAAACCCCTAAACCCTAAACCCCCAAGCTCTAAACCCTAAACCCTAAACCCTAAACCCTAAACCGTAAGCCCTACTCCCCTAAACCCGTAAACCCTAAACCCCGAAACCCCTAAACCCTAAACCCCGAATCCATCAACCTTGAGCCTTCAGCTTGTGGGGTTTAGGGTTTAGGGTGACCCTACGACTCAGAGGTTCATGAGCCTTTAGGTGAAGGGCACTAAAAAAAGAAGATGGAGATTTCCATGGTCTAGCAACTCTAAACTCATAGTCAAAGTTACAAGGCTGAGGGGGTTTGGGGATCTGGGGGGATCGAAGGCTGGAAGACTGAAGATCACGGCTTCGTTTCACACCCGAACGTCCTCGCCTGACACACCCTAAACCCTAAACCCTAACCCCAAACCCTAAACCCTAAACCCTAAACAGTCCCTACAGCCACAGGTTTAAGGGTTTCCGGGTTTAGGGGGATGTCAGCCCTGGCTTTAAAGCCCTAACCCTCGAGCCTTGACCCAAACTTGTTGAACCGTCACGCCGTAAACCCTCGAAGTGTGAACACTCCAAGTACGGTGTCAAAACTTTCCAGCTGGACCCTAAACCCTAGACCCCTGAGCCACGAGACATAAACTCTGAACCATAAACAGTAGTCCCAAAGGCCTGAACCGGTTCACTGCCACCGCGATCTTCGGCCAGATCCTGATGTCTCTGCAAGCGCTGGGGTTGATGTGGCTTGGTCCATGGGGAGGCGGCTTCTGGGGATTCAGGAGTTTCGGGTTCAAGGTTCAGGTTTTGGAAACCCTAAAACCCTAAACCCTAAACCCCAAAGGCTTCTGCTTGAGACTTGTGGAGCTTTGGGCGGCAGGGTCCCCGGGGCTTCCTTGGTTCAGGCTGCGAGGAGTCCTTAGGGTTGATGTGTGATGGCTAGATATAGCCACTTCCCAAAAGAGCCCCGATGATATATACATACCTGGGGGTTGATCTAAAGGTCCTCTTGGGAAATTCTTTTGGGTTCCTGTGGGTTTTAAGGAAAATATAGGGCTACTTTAGGAACAGGTATTTTTTGAGCAACGACCACATATATATGCTACATATGTATATCGACATATATATATATACACACACAGACTTTTTACGCCCAGACCCTAAACCCTAGAACCCTGCAGCTCTAAACCCTAGACCCCAAGATGCAAAAGCCTTCAACTCTAACACCCTAAAACCTGACAACCCCAATTCCCTAAGACCCCAAACCCTGAACCCTATGGTTATTTTGTGAAGGGGTTGAACAAAGGGCATTGGATCAAGGCTTGTGGACCTAAACCCCAAATTTCTCAAGCCTAAATTAACAGCCCCTAAACCTAAACCCTATAACTCCTCAAAGCCCCGAATCACCCCATACCCCAAACCCTAAACCCTAATCTTCGCCTGAAGCTGAGGAAGGAGCTTTCCATCGACTGGCAGGAGCATGCGGGTTGGCTTAGGTCTTAGGTTTTTGGGGGTTTAGGATCTAGGGTTTTGGGGGGTTAAGGGCTTTGAGTTTTTAAAGTTTAGGGTCTTGGTTATTGTTGGCTTTAGGGTGTTCAGGGTTTCGGGTTTGGGGTTTTCAGGGGTCGGGGTTTAGGGTATAGGGTTTTCAGCGTTCGCTGTTTCCTCAAGGGATAGGGGAACATAGTTGAGTAGGTTGAGACATCATGTGGGTTTAGGGTTTAGGGTTTAGGGGTTTGGGGTTTAGGGTTTAGGAGGTTAGGGTTTAGGGTTCAGGGTTCAGGGTTTAGGGCTTAGGGTTTAGGGGTTTAGGGCTCACAAAGGCCCTTTCTGCCCCTCACCCTAGATGTGCTGTGGATGGCTTTAGCGTTTCGGTGTGAAGCTTGGCAGCTTTGTGTCCATGTATAGCACATTGAGTGGCATGTTCTTCATAAGGAACCACGGGGGTGTAAGGGAGGGGGGTGTAAGGGCCCCATATTCGTTTATGGATGTAGAGTCGAGGCTTGCTTCTCCCGTTGGGGATCTTTGCTATTACTGATAGCTGAGACGGGGCCGTGTAAGGTTTAGGGTTGTGTAGAGGTGCACGGCTACTCACTGCAGCAGTCAGATTGCAGCTCGAGCGTATCGGTGTACAGTGAGCATGGCAGCGCAGCGGCAACGTGCTGCAACAGCTGTCAATGGCCCAAAGAAGGAAGAGTCGGCAACGCCTGATGCTGGAAAGATGAAAGGCTTGGAGACAGAAGATTCGGCCACTCCCGATGCTGGAAAGATGACAGGCATGGCACCAGTGCTGGCGAGCGCACCGTTGCAGATCGATGATGGACAGAAGAAGGGCATGGCGTCGTCGCAGCGGTCCGCAGTGTGTTCTCCGCGGAAGCGCCAGAAGGTGCAGACGACACGGAGCGGCGGTGACAATCATGCAGAAATCTTTCTGTACAGCAGATCTAGCGTCAACGTGTGTGCGGGGTGGGAGGCTGTACCCGTCTGGGCTGTTGTCTGGCAACATACCGCCAGGCCGTCTCTGACCTTCAAGATCTCCGAGAACCTGACCTGCTGGCTAGCGCAATGTCCGGAAGGCTTTGCGGAGTTCGGTAGCAGTACTGCAGCGCTCGCAGCTTCGCTGCAGTCAGGTGTGCTGGTAGGGCGAGCAGGGATAGGGCAATAAGGAAGCACATGTGACTTGTATGCATCAAGGAAGACGTGCAGCTCTTGGTTCGGCAAAGCAGCAAGCCTCCGTATGCTGTCTGCGGTTATGCTGGTGGAGATCAAGAGAACTTGCTGGCGCTGCTAAGCCTGCTGGACGGGTACATCACGCATCGTCGCGGTCTGGCAGAGTTCCGCGCGGTGCCCGAGTCGCCTGCTATTCGGCTGCGGTATAGCCCTAGCGGTGTGCGTCCTTATGCAGTGCAAGTAAATCTTTACGAGTCTTACCGCCATGTTAGCACATGCAAGCCCATGAGCTGGTTCTCTGACAGTTACATGCTGCTTTATGTCGCTGTGGCAGGTTCGGCTGAGTGTCCCCGCGGAGGTGGATCTGTCTCGTTTCCGAGCAACAGCGCAGGCGGCGTGGTCGTTTGAAGTCCGCGGGGCAGGCCTCCCGAGAAGTTTGCAGGAGATCCCATCCCCTGAGTTCAGTGGCCACATTATGCTGCGTATTGGTACCGCAGCGTCATCATCGGCCCAGTTGTCGCTGGAGTTGTCGGGTGGCACGTGGGCTGCGAAGGAGTTGCTGGATTCAGCGGGCTGGGCAGGGGAATATCAAGACAGCAGCGGTCAAGCCTTGGCGTCGAAGCAAGCTGGATGTCGCTATGTGCGCCGTTTGATTGTGCCATGCAGAGATGCTGCGCAGCACGCAAGTGCTTTAGGCTGGTTGAGTTCTTTCCAACACGACTTTGTGAACGTGGACCCGAATATCCCTGCAGAGATCGCCGGGCCATTTCGAGCGCTGGTGCAGAGCAGTACTGATTAGGATACTACTTGTGGTACTACTGTCTCGCTCGCCATGCGACTGAAAAATCTACTCTGAAGCCAGATTATTTGCATGATGTTGTCTGTTTGTGATACTCAAGAGGCAAGTAGGCTCCACGCACAGCAGAATCAAAGGGCCGAGTCTGAGTTATGTACAGCAGTGGAAGTCTGGACCGAAGCTGTGGAAGCCACGTTGTGCGCGTTTGTACAGGCGGAACGCGGAACCGTGGAAGGCTTAGCGCAGCAGCAAAAGAGCAGACCGCAGCAGTATACCATTTGTGCACAGTGCTCCGTGCTCAAGCATGGTGTCCTACATGGAGGCATTTCTAGCAGGTTTTCGGTACAAAGTAACTGTCCAAGTACTTGCCCAGATAGTATGAGCGGTCTTTGGCGCATCGCCCTCCTCCACTCTACAAACCCTGAGCTCATCGTCCCAAGGCCGGCAAGCGTGCCTGGAGGCTCGAGCGCAGCTCGTCCGGCACCTCACTGAGGCGATGGAAGGCCTGGCTTAGGGTTTCACGGGTTTAGGGTTTAGGGTTTGGGGTTTAGTGTTTAGGTTTGGGGTTTAGGGTTCAGGGGTTTAGAGGTCTGGGGGTAGGGCTTAAGCTTCAAGGGTTTAGTGTTTAATTCGAGGTTTGCGCGCGTGGGGTGGACTAATGGTGTTGGGTTCGGGGCCATATGGTGTAAGTTTTATTATATGGGCCTTGAAGGGTTTAGGCTCTACGGGTTTAGGTGCACTAAACCCTAAACCCTAAACCCTCCCGGATGCCATCAAAGGCAGGGCGCCGTGGGTATAGCAGGCATCGTCGGTTTTCCGGTTCTTCCAGTTGCTGTTGAAGCCTCGGGCTGATTAGGAGGGGGTAGGGTTTGGCGTTTGGGGCTTAGGGCCTTTAGGGCTTCAAGGCTTTAGGGTTTAGTGCCTAAACGCTAAACCTCAAACCCCACACCTTAAACCCTAAATCCTAAAGCCTCACCCTACACTTTCAACCTTGAACCCTAAACTGCCAATTCTGAACTCGGTCGACCAATGACCTGACGCGTGTATCGGAGAGCTGTGCAGTTGCAGCGAAGCGGAACTTCTCCCGGATCAGAGATGCTGAATCTGCGACATCCCGTCGTCAGCAGTGTTTCTGAGACAAGCTTGTCGACCAGCGCGTCGCATTGTGCCTGAGTTTGTGGATGTGAACATCGGCCAGCTTGAGTACTCAGCTAAAGAAATGCTCGCATTCTGAGCTCTTTGAGATGACTCCAATTTTTTTGAAGTCGCTGGATGTTTGCCTGGAATTCAGCTCAACCCCGGGTTCGGAGTTTAGGGTTTAGGGTTTTATGGTTTACGGTTTCGGGTTAGGGGTTTAGGGTTCAGAGTTTAGGGCCTTCCTCTAGACCCTGAGCTCGAACTTTGGCCTCTAAACCCTAACCCAGAACCTTAAGCACTGCGCCTGAAGCTGTATACCTCACGGCCTAGTCCCTGAACTCGTGATTCCCGCGCTGTAAGCTTTAAACCTCAAACCAAAACCGCGAAACCCAACGCCCCAAGCCTCAAAGTCCTAAGCCCGAATCTTAAACCCTGTACCCCAAGCCTGAAATTCTAGAAATTTGAACCCGAACCCCTTAAACTAAGCCTCCAACCCCAAGCTATAAACCTTGAACCTTTTTAGTCCTTTAGCCCCGAACCACCCAGTCACCAGGACGCTGTAGCGCGCTGGATGCAGCACCAACGAGGAGGCCAAAACGTCTAAATCCTAAGTTCTAACCCTAAGCCCTGAACCGTAAGCCCTCAGCCCTGAACCTTAGGCTCTAAACCCTAAACCCCAAGCCCTAAGCCCTAAACCCGAAGCCCGAAGCTCTAAACCCTAAACCCTGCGCCAAAAGTCTTAAACCCTAAACCCTAAGCCCTAAGCCCTGAACCCTAAGCCCTTAACCTTGCCTTGAGCCTTAAGCCCTAACCCTAAGCCCTAAACCCTGAACCCTAAGCCCTAAGCCCTAGGGTTTTGAACCCTAAACCCTAGGGTGATGTGCTGACTGACTATGGAGGTTTGCCGACTAACGTTTGAGGTTTACCGACTAATTTTTGAGGTTTGGCGACTAACATTTGAGATTTGCCGACTAACTTTTGGCTTTACGCTACATTCTAAGCGTGAATTCCCTAACCCCACGGTTATAGCTTTCAGGATTTAGGGTTTAGGATTTACGAGTTAGGGTTTAGGTTTCATCACACAAGGCTCAAGGGGGCTTTATGATAGGTTTAAAGGCTTTATTCAGATGCGTTTCACGCAGAGATGGCTGGGCAGGGCTTCCACTACTACTATTGAGGCTGTAAGCCATGAAATCGCGAGATATCAGCATTTTCTTTCCTACAACCCCTAAACTCTCTAGGGCCTGAACCCTAAACCCCAGGGGCCTGAACCCTAAACCCTAAGCCCCAAACCCTAAACCCTAAGCCCCAAGCCCTAGACCCTAAGCCCTAGACTCTAAGCCCTAAGCCCTAGACCCTAAGCCCTAAACCCTAAGCCCTAAACCCTAAGGTCCTAGGCCGTAAGCCCTAAGCCCTAAACTCGAAGCCTTAAACCCTAAACTCTAAGCCCTAAACCCTAAACCCGGAGCCCTAAACCGTAAGCCCGAAACACTAAGCTTTAAACCCGAAGTCCTAAGCTCTAAATCCTAAGCCCTAAATCCCAAGCCCCAAGCCAGAAACCCCAAACCCTAAACCCTAAGCCCTAAACCCTAAACCCTCAACCCTAAGCCCTAAACCCTAAACCCTAAGCCCTAGCCCTAAGCTCGAAGGCCCAAGGTCTAAAGCCTCAGCCCGAAATCCTAAACCCTAAGCCCTAAACCCTAAATCCTAAGCCCTAAACCCTAAGCCCTAAACCCTAAACCCTAAACCCTAAACCCTAAGCCCTAAGCCCTAAACCCTAACCCCGAAGCTCTAAACCCGAAACCCGAAGCTTTAAACCCTAACCCCTAAGCCCTAAGTCCTAAACGCGAAGCCCTAAGCCCTAAACCCTAAGCCAAAAGCCCTAAACCTTAAACCCTAAGCCCTAAACCCCAAGCCCTAAACCCTAAGCCCTAAGCCCTGAACCTTAGGCACTAACCCTAAACTCTAAGTCCTAAGCCCTAAAGCCGAAGCCCTACGCCCTAAGCCCTAAACCCTAAGCCCAAAGTCCTCAACCCTAAACTCTAAGCCCTAAGCCCTGAACCCTAAGCCCTTAACCTCAAGCCTTAAGCCCGAAGCCCTAACCCTAAGCCTTAAACCCTAAACCCTAAGGCCTAAGCCCTAGGGTTTTAAACCCGAAACCCTAGGGTGATTTGCCGACTGATTGTGGAGGTTTGCCGACTAACTTTTGAGGTTTTAGGGGTTTAGGGTTTAGGGTGTAGGGTTTGGGGTTTAGGGTTGAGGAGTTTGGGGTTTCGAGGTTGAGGGTTTGGGGTTTAGAGTTTAGGATGCAAGGAACGCCTTTGGAAAGGAGGATTGACGCCTCGTAGCACGACTAGCACTAGCATTCTGCCGACTGCCGAAAAACAAAGCTCGCCTGCCAGCGTGGTGAACTGCATGCACCAACTTGTGACGTCCTGTCAGAGAATTGCTAGTAAGCAGTGGGCGAATAACACATTTTGGATTGCTTGAGCAATCACATCTCAGCGCACCTTCACAACTCAAGTTCACGATTCTGACCCTAAACCCTAAACCCTAAACCCTAAACTCTAAGCCCTAAACCCTAAACCCTAAACTCTAAATCCTAAACCCTAAACCCTAAACCCTAAACTCCCTGGACATGCAAGGGAACATGTTTTTCTTTAGATCGGCCCTGGACATCCGCGGGCAAGGGAGGGACACTGCGCTGACTGTGCAACATGTACAAATTGGAGGGTACACATTTGCGAGACTTGGGAATCCTCATTCCTGTGCACGGATGTCGACTCTAGCTGAACGAATAAAATCCGGATTGCTTTCTCAGAAGCCGCACGGCTCCAGCAGACGTCCGAGATGTACTGAGCATGTCCTAGTACACGGATGTGATCACAGCATTGCTTTCATCTAACGCACGCCGCAAATCATGCATCCTTAATGTCACCTAATGCATGCAGCAGGTCATCCCTGCGCGCAGACATGTGTGCGGAGATCATGCGCTTGCCGATGTCGCAGCGGGTCTTCCATGAGCTGCTGCATACTCGGTTTGGGCGTGCAAGACCCACACGATTCGTTGTGGGCAGCAGCTAGGGCGCCTACAGGCCGACACGGCGGCTCCCACTTACGCAGCAACCGACTCCGAAGTCGGCCTGTGTAAGGCATGCGCAGTTCGACGGTTTCCACCTGTCTGTTCGACTGCGATGCAGAGCCAATCTGACAGAAGCAACGTATCTGCGTGCTGTACAACGCCCTGGAGTGCAAAACAAAGAGATGAAACGGCGAGGGTTGCAGCACGCGATTCCCAGGCTTTGCAGTTGTGCCAAAAACAACTGCACGAGGCTTTCGCGGTGTGCCATAAACACCCGCAGGCTCTGCGGGCGTGCCAGAAACGCCCCACGCCAACAAACACCCAAAGTCTTCGTGAGTCTTTGACATGGTGTGCACCGTGTCGCCGCAAAGCATATGCATATGCGTGTATTTACCGGGCACGATTCGGCACGCGTCACAATGCATGGGCTTGGCAGTTAATTAGCCCAGCTGAGCGACCAGAATTATTAAACTCCAACTTTTTGCGCGTGCGGGCAGTGTTGGATAATCTGCTGTTACAATTCCTGCCGCATGGAAAGCAGGTTGTTGCATCCTTGTGTGTGAACTTGCCAGCCATTGTTGCACAAGACGATGCGCCAACACCCTGTTCATGCGCGTCCCAAATGTCTTCGGCCGATTATCGGGCGCAATCTCGTGTTTCTCGCTCGACCCCGGTACAGACTGTCAGTGCCAGTATATGCAAATCCAACAGCGCAAAGAACGCCTCAGTGGCCAAACCACGAGGTGGATATCGAAGACGGGAGTCCGCAAAGAAGTCTAAATCCGCGGGAAAATACACGCAAAGCGCATGCTTCCGGGCAGCAGAGGAGCAGGCGCGACAGCAATTGATGCGATGGCGTGGCGACGCGGTGCCGAGCAGCAGGAGAAGGTCTCCCGCCGGCACATGCGAAGCCCGTTATGTGCACCCGCACAGACCGTCGTGTCCACTGGAAGCCCAACGAAAAGCGGGACGGCGCGTGGGGCAAAATCGGATATGCAAATGGGCCGCTCGCCATGGACAGCGCAAGCGGTCAAGGAACTCTCAGGACAAACGGCCGAGGAACTCTCGCTTAGCGTCGAGACTCGCCTCGGGCGATGACAACATCGACTACGGGCCTCCAGTCAAAGAACGACAGGTTGCTTGTGGTTGCTGGCGCACGCGGCGGTGCTGGGTCGGCGGCCGCCGTCTAGCGCACAAGCAGCGTGCAAAAGGTAGAGCACGTATGGTATGCAAGGTGCAGCCGAACCTCTCCGTGAAAAAGCAAGCCACGCGGGACCGCGGCGTGCATTCATGTAGTCCAGTCGCTGATGCAGACGAGGGGCATGTTCGTGCCTGCGCGCCGGCAATGTCGCTGCAGCACAGAGGCGGCGGCTCCACGAAGCAGCCACGAATGTTGCAGTGGGAACAGCTGCCAGAATTGATGCAGGCAGCTTTCCTGTCCATTGATGTCGATGAGGGTCGTTTCCAGTGCTTACGCGAACAGACATGGTGCTATGACTGGGAGGGTTGGCAGGCAGTTGAAGGTGACATGCATGATGAAGCGATCTTGGCTTGGGTCGAACGCTTCACGCGCCTCAGTGCGCAAGACGAAACGGCAGCAAGCGGCCATGGCGGCCATAATGCGCGACCCTGTCAGATGGGCGCCGTCATGAAGAGGCGCGGGAAGCCTTGCCAGCATGCCGCGCTGTGCGCGAACACGGCAGAGGCGCGGTTCCGCAGTCACACTGGCACGGCAGCGCGTTCAAGTTGTGGAAGTCGCGTGGACATGATGTCGCCATGTTACGGCTTGCGCCAGCAAAACAACAGTGCACCCGGAAGTCGCGCGAGCATGCGGGGTGGCGCTCCGCTAAGCGCTGGAATTGTCACGGAGACTGCCACAATGCCCCGAGCACCGTGTTTCTTCTGTGACGTCGTCTGCGTCGAGCAATGTCAGATCAATTTCGCAGACCAATACCTGTGTCGTTGTGGAGCCTGTCGTCGGCGGGTCTGCAACCTATGTGCGGAGCAGGAGCTTCGCGAGTTTTACTGTCCATGGTGTGTGGAAAATCGAGTAGCTGCCTTAGAAGCCGCACAGGGCTTCGCGCGCATCCGAGCCTGCGCAAGGCATCATCAAGCTCTACAGGAAGATCGCGATTATACGTACTGTGCGCAGGTGGCGCCGCCGCATGCCGCCGCGAAAGCATGCATAGGTATGGTGCCTCGGGCGGAAGCTTGTTCCGCGTCCTTTGCTTGCACGCGGCCGCGGACCGGGGGCGCACGTGAGCCATCGGCAGATATTGGCAGCGAAGCAACACTGCCGGACCTTCTCGAAGCCGTGCTGCTGTCGGTGCTCGGCGACACAACAAAAGTTGCAAATCTTCTACAGCAGACTTGGGTGAAAGAGTGGCACGGCTGGCGTGACGTAGCAGATGCCACGACCGACAGTACAATTTTGCACCTAGGTCAACGACTGCTAAAACTGGCAGAGAAAAACGCCGCAGTGAAGGTCCAAAGCAATCAGGAAAGGCTGGAGGCGCTGCGACTCGAGGGGTGGCAGTTGCGCCAAGGACACGCGCATGGAGCCAACAACTGTCTCCTGGACTCGCTACTCGTGGCTTTAGCTAGTGCTAGCGTACTGCCGCGGAGCTTGCAGGATGACGTTCCGCGCAGGGCAGATGCCTGCGCCGCTTGTCGCGCGGAGTTCGTCCAGGGGCCGGATGCAAGTCTCCGTCCACAGGACCGCGACTTGCGCGGGCAGGGCCAGGCGAACGATCAGGCATACCTGGAACTGGATCGACACGGGCCGCCCGCCGCGACATTTCTGTACAACTACATCACCGGTCGCCCGTGGCCGAGGACACTCGCGGTGGACGTAATTGTTTACACGCGCTTTGACAACGCGGACATGAATCCCGAGGCATGGCCCCTGCGAGTAGGAGCTGTAAGGCAGCCAGCGGACGCCGTTGTGCGCCTTTACAATCACATGGACGACCGCGGTGACGGGTACCATTTTGACGCTTTGGTGGCAACAGCCGCCGACGCAGCGCGTCTGCCGCAGACATCGCCGGCAACTCCAGGCGCTCGCCGTGCCGCGGCCAGCCATGCAGCCGACGCAACGCGGAACGCAGTTGCTCGAGCGGCCGCCGGACCGGGGTCGGCTCAGAGCATCGCTGCGGCAGGCACGCCGTCGCCGTGGGCCGACTCGTCCGCGGGGCGGATCGCAGCTGAGCAGCGCGCACAGTGGGCGCCATCATTGACGGAGATGCTTTCTGCATTGGATGCCTTCCTGGCCCGGCGCGGTGCCGGGGGCATCCGAGCCAACCGCGCCGACGCTGCGCGCGCGGTGGCGGCGTGGAACCGGCAGGACGAGCTGGCTGTAGTACTCCAAACCCTCCTGCAGGCAGGGCTTACGTACAGCGACGTGTCCCGAGTCACGGCCCGCAAGGTGGCTGCAGAGTTCCGCGGATTTATATGGACGTTCCACGCGGGCGCAGGTAGGACGCTAGGTGCGCAGGCCGCGGACGCGGCCGCCCCGAGCAAGACCGTTGCGCCCTCAGGCGCGGACCCCCCCTCGCCCTGTGGCGACGAGCAGCAGACAAAAGCGAAAGGGAAACGACCCGCGCAAACGAAGGGAAAGGGCGGGCGCGCGCGTGCCATTGCTGCAGCGGCCACAGCCGCGACCAAAAAGCACAAGGCGAAAGCCCCCAAAAGTAGGCGCAACCGGGAGCGCGGCGCAAGCGGCAAGCCGCTGTCGCGAAGACGTCAGCAATCGCCGCCGAAGCCAACGGCGTCCAAGCGAGGCGGCCCCGCCGCGGTGCCGGCAGCCGCGAAGCGCCGCCGCTATTCATCGAAGCAGCCCCCACGCTCGAACGAGCCATCCAGAGCAGAGGAGTGCATGCGCGACGTGGAAGAAGATCATTTTGTCCTGCGCACGCGGCCCGTGACGACCACGGACGACCCGCGCGCGCGTGCCGATGCATTGCTGTCGGCACTGGCGGATCAGTTCTTAGAGTACCCGACGCTCCCACAGGCCGCGCAGCTACGCGCGCGGAGTCGTGCGGCGGCGCAGATCGCGCACGCCCACTGTGCGTTTGGAACGTGTGGATGGACCGGTGGCAGCGAAGCCGAGTTGCAGAAGCATGTGCTGGCAGCACATGCAGCGTGCTTGCGGCCAGCGGCAGCGGCGCTCAGTGACAAGGGCGCGGATGCCGGCGGCGGCCAGGGCGTGGCCACGCTTGGCGGACGCCTATGGGATGCCTATCGTGCAGCTCTCGACGTGGCATGCCAGCGCAGCGCGCCGCTGGCTTGCACGACTTTAGATCGACGCTGTCTGCGGGAAGCTGCGCAAGCACTTGCAGAAGCTCCTCCCGAAACCAGAGTCTGTCTGCTCTGTGCCAGACGACGACCGTTTGTGCGCGGAGCCCACAGCCAGATTTGGTTCAGTAGGGCGCTGGAAGAAGACGACGACGGCCGCGTCCATTTTCTTGGGCTCACGGCGGAGTGCACTGCCGCGCTGCTTGGGAGCGAAACATACGTGGAGCGGTACGTGGACGACAAGGCAGGGCCGCGGCGCGAAGGCATGCTTCGCGATCTGCGGGACTGGACCTGTGCTTTGGACTTTCCGGCCGGGCCCATCAAGGTGATTTGCTGTCCCGAGGACAAAGAATGCAAGGCCGGCTGCAGTGAGCACCATGCGTGCGCGCGCTGCTGGATCCCTGTCTGCGCATCGTGCCGGGAGCAGGCTGGCAAGGGAGCCATTCCCAAGGAGGCACTCGCTAACGACATGGTCGTGTATTATGCGCCGCGCGAGCTGTACGAATTCAAGGTGACGATGCTGGAGCTGGTGTGTGCCAGCCCATGCTTAACCAGTTTAATTTGCTTCAGTCTGGAAAAGAAGTACAGGAAGCGGCGGACGCTGGATGAGCGCGTGCACATGCAGCGGCATCGGCAAGGGGCGCGAGGGAACGCTACTACGTTCTTGCTCGACTGGGAAAGCTTGCTGGCGCAGTTCCGGGGCTACGAAGTAAATCTGGCGCCACAGGCGAGGGCGCCCTTGCCTCGAACGGGTGAGGACCTGCAGAAATTTGTGTCCGTGATATTAAAGACCAGCGATACGGAGCTGACGCCGGAAGAGCTTAGCAAGTTGATTCACCAGGCACGGGTCCGGCGTCGCGTTGTGATCATGCTGATTGAAAAAGCGTGCGAGCGAGAGCATCCGGCGTTCCGCCAACTTGACCTTGCCCAGGTGCGGCTACGGGCAGAGAGGGAGTTGCCCGAAGATGGCGTCCCGCCCGAAGTGGTCGCCGTTCTTCCGTGTGACGATAATTTGCAGCAAATCGAGAAACAAAAGGTTGCGGCGCCGGTGGCAGCGCCAGCAACCGTAGAAGAGGCAGCGCTCGACTTGGACCTGAAGCGCCCCAATGCGGTAGTCTTGGAGAAGACGGGTTTGGAAGCCGTGGATTACGAGGCCCAGCGTTTAGAGGCGGTGCGCGCCCTGGCCGAAGTCGCCGAAGAGGATTTGCGAGACTCAGGCAGCGAGCAAGAGGATGGACCGGCTCCGGAAACGGACGTGGTGTCGCGGTCCACGCCCATGAACCAGTTTGCGCCGTGGTACTTTGGCGTTGCTTTCGCCTACTTGTTTCAGTATTGCACAGCCATGCCCGATCCGCCAAACTGGGGAGAGTTCCGGGACAAGCGGTGGCGTCGCCCGCCCGAGGCCCCACACATCGGACTAGCCGACTGGGTCCGGACGATGTCTCGGCGCGTGGAAAGCCAGCTGGGCCGCGATTGGACGTTCGGTTACACGACATGGAATGTGTTATTTCGTTCGGCTGTGAACCTGTCGCGCAGTGTGTACTCCTACGACACGCCGGTTCTGCAAGACTCCGGCGAGTGGGGCAAGCTCACCGCCGCGGCCCTCGAAAATGCCGCCATCGAAATCCTACGGGCCCTGAAAGGGACGTATGCAACGCCAGACGGACGGCGGCTCCCTGTCAACGGCAGCCTCACACTTGCCAAATACGCAACGGGCTTGTCTGCGACGGCGCGCCGCATCTTGGCGAATATGAATCACACGGCCCGCGTCATTCCCGGCACGCAGGAGGCTCGTCGACAGATGCGCTTCGAAATTCAGGGAATGCGGGTGCGGTACGGCACCCCCATTTTCGTCACCGTGACCCCCGACGAAGGCCATCAGCTGCTGTACATTCGTTTGTCCCGTCACCGCCGAAGTGACCCGATTCGACTCGTGGAGGTCGGCGCGGCGGCAGCCGCAGGAGACCGGGCGTGGCCTGCGCTCGACGCCGACTTCACATGTTCCTTGCCCGTTGAGTGCCTGGAACCGCGTGTGCCCAACTGGGAAGAACGACGGCGCATCCTCGCACGGGATCCGCTGGCGACGGTGGACGGGTTTCGCGTCACGATGCTACTGCTGCTGCGACACCTGTTCGGTATGAGCACATGCCTGTACTGCCCAGATTGCAGTTGCGGGCCAACACCGTGTCAGGACAATCGCGGCAGCAACGCAAAAACCAATGGCGGCGTCTTCGGTAGATGCGACGCGGCCTATGTAGCTATCGAGTTCCAGAAATCGAGTGGAAGTGGGCACGGTCACATACAGTTGTTCGTGCAGTGCTTGCATCAGCACGAGAGTCTGCGCGAGATTTTCGCTGCAACGTCCGAGCGCGCGGCGGCGCTGCGGGAGGCCTACCTGCATTACACGTCGCACGTGCGCAGGTGCATCTACGACAGAGACCCTGTCGAGGTTACGGCAGCGCTACACGCGGCAGAACAGCGGTGGCCGGAATACAAGTCAGAGCGGCGGCTCATCAGCAGGCCGCGTTACCAAGCCGGCGTCATGGCCGCAGAAAACAGCGACGAGGAAGCGGAGCTTTGGACCGAGGCGTATCTGCGCGAGGACGTGTTTTGGCTGCAGGTCCTGAAGCAGCACCACGTGCATCTTCCGGATCCAATCACAGGCGAGCGCGCGCCGCAAGCAGGTTGCCTCAAAGCCGACAACCCCCGTGACTGCAAAAGCGGCTTTCCGCGGGACGCTGAGGTGACCGACGAAGCGGCCGTCATGTGCCCGTGTCGTTTGCAGGCGCGCGACATGCCAGCGTCCGGACGCAAGAATTGCATCTGCACGCTTCAGGGACCTCGCGACGAAGCTTACCTCAACGGCACGCACCCTGCCATTTTAGCATTTGGTCGCTGCAACTCGGATGTGCAGCTCCCATACCGCTTGCCGTATGCCTGCGACGTGTGCGCGTCGCCGACGGACTCCCGGGAGCTGCAAGAGATCGTTACAGCAGCGCAACGTGCGCAGGATGCGCAGACTGGATACTGCTGCGACTACTGTGCGAAAACGCAACCTATGGCATTTGCCGAGTTGAAGGAGCTCCAGAAAGGGCATGCTCGCTTAGCAGAACAAACACAGGGCCGTGGCGTGGAGTATCAGGGCAAGCGGCACATGACGCGCTTTTTATCGGATGCGTATTGCAAGGGGATCGTTCGAGGGCAGGCCGAGTGCTGCAATCTGCGTTGCAACTACAAGGACGGCGACGCGGCGTGCGCGGAAAGAATCACAACAACGCAGTATGTGACATTTCCCGGACGAGATTTCCTTCGCTACGCAGACTTGGCGATGACCGGCGAAACGGAACATCGCCGACGGGTAACGGCAATGTCGCTGGGCCGCAGCAAGCATATGCCGCGACAGCGGCAACTAGCGGAACGTGAACCAGCAGAGTTCTACGCGCGCCGGCCGCGCAACAGCGCGTGCTGGCATCTCTCTCCCTACGAATTTTTGTTGTATTGGCAGGTCGTTCCCACAACTTCGCCTACGACGTGGCAGGAGTGGAAGACACAACCCCGCAGCACATGGGACGTGGTGCTGACGGACAGCGGCGAGGAAAAGCTTCGGGCGGGAGGAGGCAAGCGCGTGCGCCTCGTGCCCGGCAAGGATACGCGCCTGCGCGTCGAACCCAGCGGCGACACCCTGGCCTTCGAGGACATCCCCACGAACACGCTTGTGCGTGCCGCGTGGCTGCTGCGCAGACGCCGCCGCCCGCGCTGCCCGACCTTTGGCCACTGCCCGGTGCCGCGGTACCAGCAAGAATGCCAGGAGGAGAACTCCAAACTATGCATGGTGTATTTTCGGGCGTGGACAGGGATGCCCCAGCATGCGGACCGCGATGTGCCTCATATAGCCGACTTGCAGGGCAGGTACCTCGCGTGGGAGACGGCTTTTCGGGCCTGGCTACAAGAGCTTCCGTGTCAGGAAACGAAACAGCACGTTGGGAATTTCCTGTCCGTCTACCGCGTACGCTCTCGCTGCGGACGCCGAGAACAGTGACAACGACGGCGCAGACACGAGCGCCGTGCGCGTGACTGCGGACAATCTGGCTACGAGCCTGACCACGCGCAAGACCGAAAAAAACGGGGTGGAGGCGCCGGGCGCAGAATACGCAGACTTGGAGCAGACGTGGCGAGCGGAACAAACAAACGAAGGGAAGCCGGACCGAGCGCTAGCCGCAGAGAACACGCTGGATGTGCGGGAACTGGTGAAAGAAGCACGGAAAGCGCCGCAGGGCGGCGCAGAGGCAGAGGATGCTGTCGCAGAGGAAGCGCTGGAGCGCGAACCGACTGTACGCACGCATGGCATCCGTGCCACCGTGCGTGCTGTCCAGCAGTGGGTGACGGAGTTGCGCACTCGCGTGGATGAGAAGGGCAGACTTGTCTGCAACAGAGCGCAGCACGCTTTCATCGAGCGGGTGGCGCGTCGAGTTGTGGAGGAAATGCAAACAGGCGAGGCACAGGGTGGTGCGCGTTCGGGCCTGCCAGATGCTATGCGCTGGGTGCTGCATGGCGGGCCTGGCACCGGCAAAACACACGCGGTCAAACTTCTGCGCAAGGAGCTATTCGAAGACATCCTGGGCTGGCGCCAAGGCCTGCAGTTTCAGTTCGCGGCGCTGCAGGCGGTAACAGCCGAGATGATCGATGGGGACACGCTGCACCATGCCTTCGGGTTGAGCTGGGGCCAGAGCGCCGCAGAGACGACACCGCTAACGGAAGGACTGCAGCAAGCGCAGCGCATGCTCCAGCTGCGCTGGCTTATAATAGACGAAATAAGCATGGTGAGTGTGGAACTCCTGGCAAAGCTAGAGCAGGCGTGTCGGCGGGTGATCCGGAATGGCAGCCCGTTCAAGCGTGATGCAGCCAACGTCGACAAGCCCTTCGGAGGCTTGAACGTTCTTGCCGTCGGGGATTTGTGGCAACTGGAGCCTCCCAAAGGGCATTTCATCGCCGATTTGCCGCACGAGTGGCTGGGCAGTGCAGGCGCCCGGCAGCGGCCCCTCCTGGCGCAGGGGCAGGAGTTGATGTGGGGGCCGCCGGAGCTTGCCTTCCAGGGTTGCACGGAGCTGGAGGAATGCGAGCGCACCAAAGATGAGTGGCTCAAAGAGTTGCAGGACGAATTCCGCTTCGGTCAGCTCAGTGCCGACAACCATGCTTTCTTGCACGGAAGACCAACGCGCGTGCCAGGAAGCTGGCTGCGCGGGCGAGCCGGGTGCGGACAAGCAAAGTGCCAATGCCTTGGCGTACAGCGAGTAACACCGGAGACCATCCTAGCGCAGGAATGCGCGGTGTGCTGCGCCGAGCGCGCCTCGCGCCGATTAGTAGCTGAATCGCCGCACGACCCTAGATTCTTGGGTCGCTTCGTCCTCGCGCCCTCCATCTTCGCCACGAACGTGCGGAAATGCCACACCAACAAAATCCGCGCCGAGGCTTTCGCGCGTCGCACGAAACGGCATTTGCACTACGTCGTGGCCCAGGATCGCGCTTGTGCGGCCGTCGTGCGCGAGAAACCGGACCTGGCCGAGCAGAAACTGCTCTGGCTGCAGCGCCATGACCGGGAGTGCGGCGAGCTGTGTGGCATGCTGCCGCTGTGCGACGGCATGCCGGTGCTTTTGACGGACCACCTCAACCGAGCGCGCGGGCTCCTGAAAGGACGGCGGGGCTTTGTGACGGGTTGGCGCCACGCTACTGATGGTGCTGAACCAGCGGGGCCCGGCTGCACGGTCTGGAACCAGCTGCCCGAAGTAGTTTACGTGCGCTTCCCCGGCGCGAAGTGGCGCATTACTGGGCTGGCCACGGGCGTGTTTCCCGTTGTACCGAAGCGTGCGACGTGGCATCTGGATGCCGGCCGAAAATCGCCGGTGCTGGCAATCCGTCGACAGCAACTTCCCCTAATACCAGCGTTCGCTATGACGGCGCATCAAGCGCAAGGACAGACGCTGGAGGAAGGCATCGTCGCAGATCTGTGTTATGGCGCGTACAGCAACGTCTTGGCCGCCTATGTGGCCCTGACGCGGGTCACGAGCCGGGAAGGTATTCTCATTCTGCGGCCCTTCGATGCGGCTCCATTCCAGCAGGGCGACACGAGCTTCCGAGCCTTGTTGATGCAGCACTTGCGCACGCACGATGTCAACTGGGACGCCGTCGTGCAGAGGTACGTGCGCGTAAAAACCTGCAGCGAATGCCGAACAGAGCGGCTGAAATCGGCTTTTACAGCAGGACAATGGAAGCAGCCGGACGGAGCAGCGATCTGCAAAGAGTGCACGAAGTCGTACCGCGAACGCGGCACGCCGTACCGCTGTAAGCGCTGCAAGCGATGGCAGGCACCAGAGGCGTTTCCCGGCAAAATCAGCAACTATTTAATCTGGCAGAGCACCTGCCTCATGTGCGTGGAGAAGCGGCAGTGTGGAACTTGTCAGCACTGGTTTCCGCAAGCAGCGTTCAGGCCCAACGGCTGGCGCCAAAAGCGGGACCGGACGTGCAACATCTGCCGCCAGCAGCTCCGGAATCGAGACATTGGCCTGCGTGCGCGCCGGCGGCTGCACAGACGACAAGAGACGGTGCGTGCTGCGCACCGCTGCCAGAAGCGGCAGCAGATCTTGCAGGAGGTGCGAGCGGAGATCCTCAAGCGACAAAAGCAGCAATATACCTACGAATGCCCGCAATGCAAGGCAACAGTCGACTCAACCACACGGGACGGATGCATCAACAACCAACGAAGCTGTGGACACAAGTTTACTGTTGCTGGAGGAAAGGTCGTAGCGACTTGGTCGGCAGACGCTAGATATTCGTACGCGTGCCCACAGTGCAAGGCCAGGGTCGAGTCAATCATACGAGACGGGAGCATCGACAACCGACGACAATGTGGACACAAGTTTACTGTTGCTGCAGGCAAAGTCGTGGCGACTCGCTCGGCAGAGGCTAGATATTCGTACGAGTGCCCACAGTGCAACGCGAAGGTCGAGTCAAGCAGAGGAGATGGGTGCATGGACAACCGACGACAATGTGGACACAAGTTTACTGTTGCTGCAGGCAAAATCGTGGCGACTCGCTCGGCAGAGGCCAGATATTCGTACGAGTGCCCACAGTGCAACGCGAAGGTCGAGTCAAGCACAGGAGACGGGTGCATCAACAACCAACGACAATGTGGACACAAGTTTACTGTTGCTGCAGGCAAAGTCGTGGCGACTCGAGCAGCAAAAGCCAGATACTTGTACAAGTGCCCACAGTGCAACGCAAAGGTCGAGTCGAGCACACGAGACGGCTGCGTCAACAACCGAGGACACTGTGGACACAAGTTTACGGTTGCTGCAGGCAAAGTCGTGGCGACTCGGTCAGCAAAGGCCAGGTATTCGTACGAGTGTCCGCAGTGCAAGGCAAAGGTCGACTCGAGCATACGAGACGGACACATCGACAACCGACGGAAGTGTGGACACCAGTTTAACGTTGCAGCAGGTGAGGTCACAGCGGAGCTAGCGGTGAGTAGCCACAGGCGTTCATGAGAGTGCCTACGTTTGGCCAAGATCATTCCGCGTCGTTGAGAGAAGCGACGTGGCGCCCAAGCATGCAGGGTGGGCGGGGGTGGGGAGCGTTCTGTTGTCGGGTTCCACTTCACGGGCGCGATGTCTTCCCCAGGTCTCCTGAGCAGGCTCTGCGCCCTCAGCGCAGCCCGACCGTGGTGTCCTGGGGCTTAGATTGTTGTCTTCGCTTCGATAGTGTCGCGTTGAAGTTGCTTTTGTGGTGCTTTGTGTGCGCACGCGCCTGTTCTACGCATGCAAGACCCCTAGAGGTCGTCCTGACACCGGAAATGCGGGCTTCCCTGCGTGCAGCGTCTTGACGTGATGTGCGCTTCCAAGATTTCTGCGCAGCTCGAGAGGCTGCGCGACGTCGGGCTCGCCACTGAGCCGTAGAAAACGTGTTCTTTTCTCGGTGTCTGTTCTCCCCGCGCGCTGTCCTTCTCATGACTTGACTGCGTGTGAGTCCATCCTGCAAGCATTCTGTCCCCAACCTGCCCACTCTTTTGGGGCTGTGCTAAAAGGGAGGGATGGCCACAGACCGCAACACCCCAATAATGATACCCAAAGCCCTCAGCCCGCACTTATGCACGTTGTTCGTTGGCCCAAGTTGCCTCCTCGTGGGGTTCAGGAGCGCCTAGCCCAGGCGTAAAGAAGAAGAAGTCGCAGTAGTCGCAGTAGTAGCAGTCGCAGCAGTCCCTGACCCAAACCCTCCCTCCTAGACCGCAAACCTCGGCAGCAGTTCGGCGCTATGGAACTGCGCGGCGCCTGGAAAGTCAAGGCTACTTCGTGGAGCGGGGTCTGCTCGCGCGATGGTTTCCGTGGGCGAGATGGGGTCGTCGGGCCCGAGAATGCTTGGCAGCAATGTAAAACTAAAATCCCAGCCCCCCCAGCACATATCCGTTGGAACTACCGTCTGGTGGAGGGTTCAGGGTTTAGGGTTTAAGGTTTAGGGTAGACTTTACCAACTTGGGGCCCCTAAGCCTGAACCTTGAGCTACTAGGGCTCAGGCCGGCATGAGCCCATGACAGCTCCCGTTCCCAAGCAGACTGATTCCTAGCCGGCTCTGACCTTTCTCAGCGCCATCGAAGGGTAGATGAAAGAAAAGTCATGTCAGCTTAAACCGAGAACCTCAGACCCTCAACCCTCACCCTAAACCCTCAACCAAATCGAGATTCGGAGAGGTGGGTGAAGGAAAGCTTCACACTGACGAACTGGCCCCGCCAGCGACATCCAATCGCTCCCTCTCGCACCTTGGACTCGCCGAGCTGTCAGATGCCTATGTGTCCAGAAAAAGTTCCATATACATGACCATGCAACATCATGCAAAGACGTATATACACATAAATGTGCACACGTACGGCATATTGGTCCTGGCATATTGTGTGTTGTGTTCCTTGCATTAGTACAAGTTTGGTATCATGTTTCAGCCTATGGCATTCTTTTGCACATAGCCTTTCATCTGTCGTCAAGGATGTAACCCTAAACCCTAAACCCTAAACCCTAAACCCTAAACCCTGAACCCTAAACCCTAAACCCTCAACCACAAAACACGAAATCCTAAACCCTAAAAGCCAAACCCTAAACCGAAGGGTTTGTAGGGTTAGGCTTTAGGGTTTAGGGTTTAGGGTTTGTAGGGTTTAGGGTTTGTAGGGTTGAGGGTTTAGGGTTTAGGGTTTGTAGGGTTTAGGGTTTAAGGTTTAGGGTTTGCAGGGTTTAGGGTTTGTAGGGTTAGGGTTTAGGGTTTTCGTGGGTTTATAGGGTATATAGGGTTTATAGGGTTTGTAGGGTTTCTAGGGTTTATAGGGTTTATAGGGTTAAGGCTTATGAGGGGGGTTACTGGGGCTTTGATGTCTGCACTCTGATGGAAGGGTTACTGGGGCTTTGATGTCTGCACTCTGATGGAAGGCAGCCAGATGACTGCGCGATCATGGTGCTCCGGTAAGTCTATCTGCCTTCGGCCGGCGGAAGCCCTCCGGGCTGCTGTGCCAGATAAAAGGCGGGTTTGAAGGGTTTCTAGGGTTAGGGTTTAGGTTTCGGGTTTAGGGTTTAGGGTTTAGGGTTTAGGGTTTAGGGTTTAGGGTTTAGGGTTTAGGGTTTAGGGTTTAGGGTTTCTAGGGTTTAGGGTTTGTAGGGTTGAGGGTTTAGGGTGTTTGCAGGGTTTAGGGTTTGTAGGGTTTAGGGTTTAGGGTTTATAGGGTTTAGTGGGTTTATAGGGTATATAGGGTTTATAGGGTTTGTAGGGTTTCTAGGGTTTATATGGTTTAAAGGGTTAAGGCTTACGAGGGGGGTTAGTGGGGCTTGGACGTCTGCACTCTGACGGAAGGCAGCCACATGACTGCGCGATCATGGTGCTCCGGTACCCAAACATCATCAGCATGGAGGTCTTTTAGCTTGTTTCAAAGCATGCGAAGCTTGAAACCCATCATGCAAGCAAACTCATCATGCAAGCATTGAGTTCCCCCCAACCCTAAACCCTAAACCCTAAACCCAACCCCCCCGCTTTTAAGCTTCTTTCAAAGCAAATCTTGAAACCCATCATGCAAGCAAACTCATCATGCAAGCATTGAGTTTGCAAATGGGGGGGGGCTGCGCAGCCTTCGGCTGGCGGAAGCCCTCCGGGCTGCTCTGCCCGATAAAAGGCGGGTTTGAAGGGTTTGTACGGCTGGGGTTTAGGGTTTAGGGTTTAGGGTTTAGGGTTTAGGGTTTAGGCTTTAGGGTTTGTAGGGTTTAGGGTTTGTAGGGTTTAAGGTTTGTAGGGTTTAGGGTTTGTAGGGTTGAGGGTTTAGGGTTGAGGGTTTAGGGTTCAGGGTTTCATCTTTGCAGGGTTTAGGGTTTGTAGGGCTAGGGTTTAGGGTTAGGGTTTATAGGGTTTAGTGGGTTTCTAGGGTATATAGGGTTTATAGGGTTTGTAGGGTTTCTAGGGTTTATAGGATTTATAGGGTCAAGGCTTACGAGGGGGGTTACTGGGGCTTTGATGTCAGCACTCTGATGGAAGGCAGCCAGATGACTGCGAGATCATGGTGCTCCGGTACCCGAACATCATCCGCATGGAGGTCGCCAAGGCCATGAAGGCCCTGCCACAGGAGCGCCTGGAACCCTAAACCCTACAAACCCTAAACCCTACAAACCCTAAACCCTAAACCCTAAACCCTGAACACCCTAAACCCTAAACAGCCTCAACCCTAAACACCCTAAACCCTAAACACCCTAAACCCTAAACCCAAAACACCAAACCCTAAACCCAAAACCCGCAACCCTAAACCCTTAACCCTTAAACCCCTAAACCCCGAACCCCTAAACCCCACACCCGAAACCCTAAACCCTAAACCCTAAACCTTAAACCCTATGCGGAGGTTGCCTTTTATAGGTTAGAAAAGCCTTAAATCTTCGAGCCCGAAACCCTAAACCCCCGACAGTGTGATCCCAGGTCTACATCGTGAACGCCGCTGTGGAGATCTTCGAATTTTTTTCCCTCTCAACGGGAACCCACCTTGTCGCGGTGGGAGGGCTCAGTACCCCCTCGACAGAGGGGGGAAGCCAAGAGGTTCCCGACCAGCAAGCCGAAAAAAAAACACAAAAAAAAACGGAAAAAACTGCGCAAAAGAATCCCAGCCCGGGGGGCGGGGCAGCGGGCAGCGAAGGGAGGGCTCGGGCATGCACTGGAGCCCTTAAAAACACTCCATTCTAGCAGCAAAGCAGCGGGAGGGGTGGGCGGGAGTGGGGCATGCACTGGAGCCCTTAAAACACGCCAGTCTGACAGCAAGGCAGCGGAGGGGGGCGGGGGGAGCCGGGGGGGCGGGGGGGGC